TGCCTGCCTGTGGCTCCCTCCTCCTGGCCGCAGCCTCCGGTCCTCCTTGGTTACACTGAGATGGTCTGAGCGTAGCTCTGGGGTCACGGCCTGTGCTAGACTTGTGTCCCTGTGCACGGGCTGCTGCCAGGTGTCTGCCAGGCTGTTCCCAAAGATGCTTCAACACCCCCGGCCTCGGGTCACCAGGCTGGTCACGTATAGTTCCCGAGCCATGTGGGCAAGTTCAGGTCAAAGGTCGGCCTGGACTCACATTCAGACCACAGGTCGGGTGTGGAGGCCAGCGGCCGGCTGGCTCATCTTAGAATTCGGCCAGTAAAACGGAGGGGCGGGCGTGTCCTGTGTGAGCCCGCCAAGGACAGCACTGTGAGGTGGCGGGGAGAAGCAGGTGCGCCCCCTCCCCATGCCCAGTCCCCGAGGAGTCCCGAGGGTGGCGGCACAAGATGTGACACGGCTGCGAGGAAGGTTCTGGAGTGCCAGCCCACAGGGACAGAAAGGGCAGGGAGGAGCCGTCCCTGTGGAGGGGCTCTGGGCCTGCAGGGAGGTGAGTGGGGTCTGCGGTTGGGAGGAGTGTACGTGGCAAGTCTCACTCAAGGATGGCTTCAGGACCTGCACCCCCATAACTGCCCACCTGGCCTGCACGTGGGCTCGCCCTCCCCACCTCCAGGACCCCCAGGCCTTGGAGGACGGGCCCTGGGTGCCCGATGGCCACATAGGTCCGAGCCGCTCACAAAACTCAACCCGGAGAGCCAGGCGTGGGCCCTGGGGCGGCGGGCTGCAGCTCCGCCCGCCCAGCGGTTCCTCACAGCCCTGCTCTGTGTCTTGTAACGTGGTTTTCTGAGTCCAAGCAGACACTCCATGTTTACCAGTGCAGAGCCGTGACCGGGTTATGAATCATAACAAGATTCTAGGAACAGCCAGCCCGGCACATGGGAATTCCCAGGGAGTTACGTAAGCTCGGAATCCGGCCAGGGAGCTCGACGCAGAGCTTAAGTTTCAAACCAATCTCAGCCCGAGCGCCCTGGGAGGAGGAGACGGAAACTGGGCCTGCTGTCTCCCGGAGGGACATGGGAATGCACGTGCCCAGCCCTTCAGGCAGGGGAGTGGGCTGGGCCGCAGAGCCCGGGTTGGGAGCCCACCCGGCTGCTTCCCCTGCCTCCCGGAGGGACATGGGAAGGCATGTGCCCAGCCCTTCAGGCAGGGGAGTGGGCTGGGCTGTAGAGCCCGGGTTGGGAGGCTGCCCGGCTGCTTCTCCTAAGAGCCTCTGCAGTGCTGGGTGTCCCGCGGCTCCAGGTGCCTGCGGTGCTCTGGGGACTCGAGTGCCCTGTGCCGATGGCCACGTCACTGGGTGGAGGGGAGGGACAGACAAGGCTGGCGTGCTGTCCAGACCAGTTTCCCTGCACCTGGCTATTCTGTGCAGCCGCATGCAGGAGGGGAGCCTCCTCTCCTCTCTCCCTCACGGCCTCCCCCCGCTGAGTGGCATCCACACAGGTGTGCTAGAGGGATGGAGGTGGTGTATGTGCGCATGCGCATGTGTGTGCACGGGATAGCGTGTGTATCCATGAGCACATGGTGTGTGTTGTGCATGTATGCATGTGTGTGCCTATGTTGTGTGGGTTGGTGTGTGCACGTGTGCACATGTGGTGTATGCACGCATGTGTGCACAGGCCAGGTGTGAGCAAACAGGGCTTCTGCTGAGACGGGCTGCCACGTGGGGCTTTCCGTGGAAGCGCCTCTGAGCCAGAGTTCCTGGCCAGCTAACCTGCGGGGAGGTGGGAGGTCCCTGGGACCCTTCCCTCCCTCCCCTTCCCCAGAGCTCCTCCCTCCGGTGAAGAAATGACCTTGGGATGCGAGGACTGCAGTGTGCGGTGCTCCCTCCAGGACACAGGGACGGCTTCCTCGTCCTCAGCGATGGCCTGGCTTGTCCAGCAGACCCTCAAGACTGTCCGCTCGTCACCGGTCCTCACCGTCCTCACCACTGTCCTGGGCATAGACACCACACCTCCTCCCTGGCATCTGCAGGCGCTTCCTCGCGGCTTCCTGCACACGATCTGCTCTCTCCCTGTGCTGCCGGTAGAGGGAGCTTTAAACCCTGGTATGCTTTCGCAGGGGTTACCTCTGACTCCTGGTCTGGACTGCTCTGCTATGGCCCTGGCTGCTGCCTCCCCTGCTCATTCCCCCTTCCTGGCCCCTCACCTCTTCCGCAGTTCCTTGATGGTGCCACACTCCCCCGACCTCAGGGGTCTACTGCACAGCTCCCACCGCCCAGGCCTTCTCCCCTCTCTTTGCCTCGCTGATTCCTACAAGACTTCCGAGCCGGGGTCCAGATAGGACCAGGAGACCCTTCCAACCACGACCACCCCATGTCCCCCGAGCACCTCAGGATCCGGGCACTTTGCACCAATGCTCGCCGTGTAGCTCCTGCCTGCTGACTTCGGCGATCCAGTGTTCCACCCCATGGCGGCGCGGTCTCCATGGGTGCAGACTGTGCTAAGGACTGCGCTGTGCCCCCCGGACGTAGGTAATGCAGATGTGGGTGCTGTGAGCCGAGGACCTCGGGGTGTGACAGTAGTGGGAGCTGCAGTTCCATGAGGCCCTCGTCCAAACTGAGGGGCTCTTGTTAAAAGGGCGGGCAGAGACTCGGGGGGGCAGGCAGGCACAGACATGGGGCAATGGCACCCGCACGCCCCGGAGCGCGGCCTGCAGCCCCTCCTCAGACTGCGAGGCTGGGCTGTGGCCCCTCGCCACAGCAGCCCGCGTGCACTGATGCAGCCCTGCGGTGTTGCCGCCTGTTTCCACAGCTCCTGACTTCCTTGACTGGGGGCCAGACCACACCAGGCACAAGCTCGGGAGGCCTGCGCACCTGCTCGGGCAGGGCTGTCTGGCCCTGATTCCTCGTGACGTTGGTGCCAGCACAGATGTGAGCGGACACAGTGGGGTGGGAGGAGGGGGCCTGGGCGCCGAGCTGTGTGTCGGGTCACCCTGAGAGATGGGCGCCCTTCTGCCCCTCCTGGCTGGGAGCAGTGCTCACCCCTTCCCTGTGGGTGTGAGCCCCAGCCGGCAGCTGGCCTGACGGTTTGTCCTGACCACGCTGGTTGGGAGACTGTCCGAGCGGGCTGCTCGCCTCCACCTCGCTGGCACGTGCAGGCGAAGCCCTCTCCTCCCCTCCCCAGATGGCACCCTCTGGCCGAAGTGGTGGGGGTCTCCGCGGGTCCCTCCTCCTGCCTGATTGTTCGCAGCGATGAAGGCGGAGTCCTCAGTGCCACGCGCTGGGTGGGTTTACCCCAGGACACGTCCACCTGTGCCCTGGCTTTTGTCTGGTTCCACTTTTGGAGACATAAAGGACATACGTTTTTCCAAACTAAGACTTTGTTCTCTGCGTTCCTGATTATGATAAGTGTGTCAGTCTTCTCCCTGAGACTTTTAGATCAATTTTTAAAAACTGTACTTGTTTCTCCTGTGAGAGAGAGAGGGAGCCTCCAACAGGTTCCTCACACTGCGACCCACCCCAGCCCCACAGCCAGCCTGGGTCACGGCCACACCACGCCTGAGTCCACGGACATCTCCGGACACAGACCCAGAGCCTTCGCACGTGGGCCAGCCCTGCAGAGCGGCGTTACCACGGCGCGTGGCCTGGCTGCCTGGGTCCAGTTTCATCTCCCGTGTCCTACGTGTGGCTGAGAGACCCCTGAGGACACATCTACCCATGCTGTGCTCGCCCTCTCAGCGCCACGCTCGCTGTGTGGTCAGAGGTGGGGGGCGGATGCCTTAGGCACAGCCTGTCCTCCGTCCATACTGGCTGAGTCTGGGGAGGGCAGCGTGGGCCCCCACTGCACCAGTGAGAGGTGTGCCAGGGTTTGGCTGGGACCACTGAGAAAGAGCAGACACCTGCGTTAGGGGCCCTTCTGAACTCCTGGCTGTGGGTGAGGAGAGCACGCTGGGAAGGCGGCAGAGCCAAGGGAAGCCCAAAGCTGTGGTGTGAGCACCTGGGTGCAGCTGTGCCTGAAGCAGGGCACCCTGGACCAGTGGTTCTGTTTTTATTTTTTATTTTATTAATTTAGTTTTTTGGGAGAGGTTTTTCCTATAGGGTGCGTGCGCACGCCAGAGAGACAGAGATAGAAAGTGAGAAATCACCCCTCACGGGGGATGGCCACACCGCAATCCCTTCTCCTCCATTCTCCTCTCGGGATCTTGGGCACACACGCACACATGCCTGGCATGAGTTTAAGCCACCGGGTCCGGGACTCGAACCATGGTCGACTACATGGGAGTCCAGCTACATAGCCATTACGCTAACTGCTGGTCCTGAACCAGTGGTTCTTACTGGACCTGCTCCGGCCACGGGCAGGGTGTTCTTCATGGTCCTAGTCTGGTCTGCACATTGTAGCGGCTCGCCATGCCAGCCCCACACAGGATGCAGTGCGCCCCCATCACTGGAGAAACAGAGCCCCCGTGCCCATAGACCCAGCTGACCGCCCTCAGCTCTGCGCTCAGCTGAGTCAGGAAATCTCCGGTTACCTTTCCCAGCCGGTCTCCTGGTGTGCCCTCCCTCCTCCTCTCCCACTCTCCCCATTTCTTTCATGATATATATAGAGAAAGGCGAGTACTCGCACAGGGCCTCGCGCCCAGCCCGCCAAGATCATGGTACACATCCACGTTCAGGTCCACCAGGGAGCCGAACCTCCAACCCTGCAGACCTGGCGTCTCCAGACGGTGGGGCCTGATCTCTGCGCCATGTTCCTGGCGTCTGTACCAGTGCTGCGTGAGTCCGAGCACAGGGCGTCGGCCACGGGGAATCAGTGAGCTGTTCACGGCCCAACCAGAGGCCCAGGTCTGCAAGGCCAGGCCCGGCTAGAGTGGCCGGAGGACCTCAGCATGGTCCAGACAGTACAGGCTCAGGGAGGGGGATCCTGGGTTCTCCTTCGAGCCTTAGGGCTTTAGCGAGAGGAGCTCCAGCCCTGGGCCTGGTCCCGCCTCCTCCCAGCCCTGCTCCATTCCCTGCTCTGTTCTGCCTGTCCCTAAGCGCGGGACAGAACCACTGCTCGACCTCGTGTGCAGCTGGCATTGGGCATTCGACCTGCTGCCTCCATTTCTCCATCTACAAACAGGAAGCAGCACCTCACTTCTAGGGGCCGGGCTGACAGCGGCTTCAGCGTGCTGGCTGTCAGAACTGTCATTTCAGCCTCTGCTGCGCTCGAGAAAAGGCCCAGGATCGGAAGTCCTGGCTCCTGCTCGCCCAGAGCTCATCCCGACTCCTCGGAGTGGCAGCTCCTTCATCTATAGAACGGGGGCGGGAAGAAGCGCACTCCAAGGGGACGCTGTCAGGACGGAGACCACGTGCAGGTCTTCGACAAGTTCATAGAAAACGGGCATTATGAAAAACGAGGCATGGGTTTCAATATTTTTTGTACCATAAACTAGTATTTCATTGGTTTTCCCTGTTTTTTATTTTTGCCAGAGGGAGCGTGTGCTTGCCAGAGAGACAGAGAGGAAGAGGAGAAAGCACCCCCCACTGCGGGGAGTGGCTGTGCTGCAGTCCCCTCTCCTCCCACTCTCCCCTTTTGTCTGGATTTTGGGCACACACGCATATCAGGCGGGTATCTCGAGCCGCTGGGTCCAGGACATGAACCACACAATTGGCCATGTGAGATCTGGCCGCCCTACCCACCAGACCATGGTACCAGCCTTTTTCACAAATTTCTCAAAGCCCCCTCGTGTGCGAAAACACTTTGTGAATAAGAGATTCGGAACTGTCTCCCTTCCCTCCATCTGGAAGGCCTCAGGCCCTAGCCTGCCCGCCCCTCTGCAAAGCCTTCCTCTCTGGGGTCTCCAGGTGCCCCTCTGAGGTTAATCTCCCCAAACTACCCCTGAGTCTGTGTGGTCCTTGCTTCTCTGCTGAGAGCTGGCCACTTGGCCCACCCTGCTCACCTGCAGCGCCCAGGGCGGCTCTTTGTGACAAAGTTTAAGTGAGGTACCAGCCTGCAGAGTCTTTTCCCTGAGAAAGAAGACCCAGCCTCCCCACGGTTCAGGCACAGCCCACAGTGTCAGGCAGAGGCAGGGACGCTGACTCCTGCTCACAGAATCCACAGGGACTGAGGCCGGAGGCCCGGTTCACCGAGGGGTGATAAGCCATGTCTCTGCCACACAGGCCAGTTAGCTGCACTGCCCTGACGTGTTCTCCCTGTGGCTGTTTATCCCGCAAAGGCAAATTAGTTCTGTTTGCTTAGTGAGGATGGATTCAGAACACCGGGAGTAGAGTATGTGATTTGAGTGTAAAATGGCACCAGGCCCCGAGGGGTTGCCGCGCCATCTCTCCAGACAGCATGTCCCTGCCAGGCACCCGTTCAAGGCAGTGGTGGGCACGGTCCACCTTCCCCCTTCTCACGTGGCCATGATACTGCTCTCTGTGGCACAGGCCGAGTGCCAAGCGATGGAGCTGGAAGGTAGACTTGGACTTGGGAGGTGGACTCGAGTGAGTCACGGCGACACCCAGCTATACCCTCGTCTACCCTGACTGCTCACCTAACAAGTGAAGGTGCGGTCTTCCACGCCGACTCATGGGGAGGGCTGAATGAGCACATGCCATGTCCTCGCTGCAGTTCTGGGCCCTCACCGCGCTCCAGGCCCCAGGTTGTCAATCCATAAAGTTCACTTAATTCTGTCTTTTTATTAGAGACTTTTGATATAGGGCATGTGCATTCACCAGAGACAGACAGCAAGAAATCACCCCTCCTACCCATGGCGCG